TGAATTTCTCTAAAGGTGCATAAATCACCTCTCTGTATGGTTCCAGAGACATGGCTCTTCTCATTCAGCACTGTGGGAAAAATATAATTTCCGGGTTTGGCCTTAGAAAACCAGTAAAATCAACATTCGTCCAATATTAATTTGTGAATATTTTAAATGTTTAATAGGGGCAAAAAGTCATTAACAAAAATCTGAAAATATGCTGCATTTGATGTGCATTAGATTTGATGTTTAACTTTGCAATTTTAAAAATACTACTATTCATTTTCCATTGTATGGGTTAAAAAGGAAAAACGAATGGACGCAAAAGTACACGGATCAATGGGTAATTTTAAAGCTTATTAATGATTAACTTTAAACCTGTTGGTAGCTTTGAGTACTGAAGTACCCTACCTGTATGTTTTTTTTCTTTCTTTTTTTGCAGTGTTTGGATAAAGGGTGGCAGTCTTTCATAATCAATGTTGTGGACTACTGGAGAAGTATTTGTTCTCCATTTGAGTGAGATGTTTAGGTTCCATTCATTTTATAAGTATTAGTATTAGTTCAAGAAAAAAAAATATAGAAAAATAGCCATACAAATAGCCAAAGCTGCAGCATCCGCTTCGGTATCAGAAGTGAAAAAGTGGTATCAGGACATGCATATACTGAAGTTTACTTATTCATATACTAAATGTTTTTCAGATAGTGTCTGGGGAAATTTTTTATTTTTAGTGTCAATCTACTTTGACACTAATGAAAAAAATACTATGGCTATAGGATTAGGAAGAAAATAATAACTTTTCCCCCAAAAACGTTTCCTCTGTATTTTGCAACAGCTCTAAATACTGCATAGTAGCGTCAACTTAGCCACCTTAACACAACTTACCACTGGTCTATTTGTAGCCAGCATATTTCTTCATAAAAATAGCACTTTAAACACAACTTTATTTCTAAAACCATTCAACCAAGGACCATGTACCAGTTTGTTCTGTCTTTAATTATTATTTCTAGCCTTGAAATGAAAAAAATCAATAAGTTGATTCTCTTAGCCCTCATTATCCTGTTTCATGCATTTCATAGTAAAATAAAAAGCCACAATAGCAATATGTGGAATTTGAGCCCAGTTGCTATAAGAGCTCGAAGGTCAGGGAAATTAATTTCACTGACTGTGGAGGTGAGGAAGGAAAAAAAAGGTGAAACCACAATAAAAACTCCTGCTATACAAAATGTTTCAACATTCGATTTGAAGACCCAGTGACAGCTGAATTCGAAGAGAGACCTGCAATGAGGACTTAACACTTCCTTTAAAAAAAAGTATCCTCCCACTTTGTCCACCAAATTCCAGGTTTTGTTTTGTTACAAATCTCTATTCCTGAAGAATTTTAAACTGCCTATTTTGTAGACATGCTCCAAAGAATAAATATATCAATAGATATCACAGCAAAAAGTCCACTCGGGCAATTAAAATCAGGCTTGAATCAGGCAATACATTAGTTCTAAAACATGCAAAGCCAATGATGAGAAATCGCCTAAAGCTCTACTTTGATGAGGATGCACCTATCAATAAAAACATAATATGATCTGGATCAGAGCGTTGTCAGCCCGCTCGCAACCAGTCTAGAAGCCTATAGCGCTATAGCAAAAGAAAGGCAGTGCTTTTAACAAAGGCATTTGAACAGTGAGCTCTGGGCCATATAGATTACTATACGATTACTAGAGACTATGCATGCGCATGCGTTGTTGTGTTTATGAGGCTCAGGTAGCCAGAGAGGCAGCTGGGCCGCAACAGAGGATTCTGGGTGTGAGAATGCGAGCGGAAGAACCCTCTGGATCCCTGCCACTCATCTGGCCACCTTCCTAAGCAGGGCAGAAAATCAAACAAGTAGGAAAGAATTAAATAAAAGCAAGAAGAAAAATGATTTCTTATAAATAGCAGGCTTCGCCAGAAGGCATAGGAAATGAGAGCAGCGAGGCGCAGGAGAGGAGCTTGAGCTTGACACGGGTCTTAAAATTGAGAGGGGGCGGAATCAGGGACCTATTGCGCAAAATGGCTCCAACCAAAGCAAGGATTAGTGTTCCTGCCTCCACAGCCAAGATTCTCCAGAACAACTAATCACCTTCAAGTTCTCTTCTCTTTTTTTCCCTTTTCCTTCTCACTGTCTCTCGCTCTCCTTCTCGCTCCCTCTCTATCCTCTTTAAAGTATCATTTCACCCCTCACAGCCATTATGGCTAAAATTAAGCAGAGAGTGTTCTGCCAGCGCCGATTAGACACATCCCTGGATCCGTGCTGAGGAGAAGGTGTCATGTCAGTTACAGCGAAGAGAAGAAATGTGCTTCTCCGCGACGGTCTGCACGGGTAGACTGAGAAAAGCCACGTACATCTGTGGCACACAGCGAACAGGCTTGTGGCAAGAATAGCTTCGATTCAGTTCAGAGGGCTAAAATATCAGCCGGCAATTAGAAACGAGGAGGAAAGGCGTACAAAATAAAGCTTGTGGAACGTTTTGTGCGAACGTGCTAATAGACTTCAGCGTGTTTTGAGTGTTATGCAACTCAAAAATAAAGACAGATAATCTACTTTAAAGTGAGCTTAATTAAAGTTATCCTGCAAAGATAAAAAAAAAATGTGCATGTGTTTACAGTCGAGCTAGATTTCCCTTGAATTAATTTACTACAAAACAACGGTTTGCATATCAGTCAAAAGCATGCAGCGATCAATTAGCTTAATGCAAAGAAACAAACACACGCTTCTTTGTTGTTTCTTTAAAAATACTAAATGCCGACATCAGCAAATCTCACATTCTCGCTTTAACCCAGTTACAAAAAAAGTTTCATAATTAGTTATCACAGGTATGCGCGCAGGAACACGTGTTTACTCAATTCATAATCAGACAGAGTGTGTGTAAACCTGTTTAATGTGACATTCTGCGAGAGATCTGCATCTCACAAGCACGGCTGCACGCGGAAAAGGGCAGCGATGATATTGATAAAACAGTCGTTTCATAATCACAGTGATCTGGAGAACTGCACTGCCACAGGAAGTTTAAATGAGGCTCAGATAGGTCACCTTCAACTTTAAGAGTTTTGTCTGACCTTTAGTTCTTTAATGTCGTGCCGCTGGTTTCAGGCATGAAGGGAAAAGGATAGCAGTGTGATTTCTCTCCAGTCCTATTCAGAGACAGATGAAATGGGCCCTGCATACTTGCAAATGACTGGGAAATATGCAAGTAATTTACCGTTAAATTCCATAACAGGAAAACCTAATTGTACAGCATGTCCAGCCTAATTGAATTGTTCTACAAGTGCATTACTGTTATGGAAATAATACTGACAGGGGCGATAAGAGGTTGAACGCGAGACATTGAATGGAGAATAAAACTATTAGACTAAAATAGAAAAGAAAAAAAGACATCAAGTCATTTAGCAAAATGTGTAAAACGGGAGCATTTTTATGAATAAATTATTAGAAATTAATAATAGTAGTAACAATAATAATAATAATAATAATAATCTTGATTATGCATTAAAAAATAATAAATGCATCTAAATTAGAAGCTATAAATATTACAATACAACTCTTTTTTCAACTTTTTTTTTGTTTCAACTAATTGTTTTATTATTTTTAAAATGCTATGTTTTTTAATGTAAATAAATAACATACTCATTTGTCTAACAAAAAAAGTTTGAATGCACCCACAAAAATGACCTCTTGCTTGCCCACACAAGAAAGCCCGCCCTCTGCTGGTCAGAGACTGAAGTGCAATTGACCCCTCTGCAGTTTTCCTGCAGTTGACTGTCAACTCACATAAGAAGAAGCTTTGTTAAAACAGGCTGTCAATTTCTTTTAAAAAAATAAATAAATAATGCGTTTGCATATGAGATGCAGGTTGTGCTGAGCAGCCACATATAACGAAAATGTGCACACTTGCACCAAACACAATCAGCCCATACTGTATTAGATGCTGTAATGTGTTTTTCACAAACAGAAAAGTACACACAGATACATGCATTGTGTACATTCACACAATATGCTATATTTTGTCAAAATACTCTTAGTTGGCAGCAAGAAGCAGAAAAATTGCGGCATAATAATCCTGCTGTGAATATTAGCCTTCGTTTGATTGATGCAAAGCACATGTGCAGTTATATTGAAAAAGCTCATGAGTGATAATGGCGAATCTGGAATGTAATATCACCAGCGTCTCCAAGATCTGCTAAATCTACATCAATGTTACGCTGACTTAAAAAAAAAAAAAACTCATTAAATCACATCACTCTTAAACACCGGAACAGCCTTAATATAATGGACCTAATGATCACAGGCTACACTATCTCTTGACAGCAGGTTGTTTCAGCAATGATAGGTTAATGTCATTTCTCTTTTGTTTTCATTCAGTCATCACAGTGGAGATGTCCTTCCGTGATGACACGCTGATGGTGAGCAACTTCATTTCAGCCCGGAATATCTCACACATGTGACAACACCTTCCTTTGTTGCCAAGAGTGTTGAACTGCTTTGAACTGCCGACTGACAGAATAGGGAAGCCGTTCCAAATGCAAATGTAAATTATTGTTACTTACACGTTTAACCCTCTAGACGCTGTTCTGTCCTAGCATGTGGAGGAATTCTGAAATCATGTTGCCCTCTTTTGGCTGGCATGTGCGACTGCAGAGTCTTTCCTGACATAATCGCAACTGCTTGTAAAGGATAAAGCTTCGATATCACGATACAACGCTGAGAAATGTCAAACATCAATGTGAAATATTTGAAATTTCAATATAAAGGTAAGACCTTGCGTTTGCCCTATGTAGTATTGTACAAAAACATGACTGAATTTGAGTGGTAGATAAGATTCAAGTGCAATGACCTGTCAAGCAACCCTTCAAGGTAAAATAGCGACCCAAGACACACTAGGCCAAACATCCCTGTAAAGGTCTATTAATCAATATTTCATTCTCATCCTAACTCTATTCCCAACACATTTCCTCCAGTGTTTTCATTCTCATTTCATATACTCACTCGCTTTCTCTGCCTCCTCTCTCCCTCACTCCTCCTCAGACCTGCGGGTCACTCCAGCAGGAACAGGAAGTATCCGTCCTCCTTTCCAAAGCTCAGCCCTCCGCTCCGTCAGTTTCCCCAGCGTTCTCCCAGCATTCCAGTGTTTGATTTCCCACTCGTCTACAAAGATAAGAAACAAACCCCAGCAATGGGAACTTTCAGTGAATATCTTTTTCAGCCTCCACACCTACTATCTGTTTTGCTTTCTCTTTTTTTTCTTCCTCCCTCGTTCATCTCTGAGCTCGGGGAAAGCAAAGAGGTGGGTAGTTTATTCAGTAATATTCAGAATGGTTGATCTAAATAAAGATGCTTTTCAAATTCTATTGTGTGTATAATGGTGTATAACAGAGGGAGGATTACTGATCTGATTTCAACGGCTAAACAATGCTGAGTGGAAAGGAGGAGCGGAAAAAGGGACTTTTGTAGTGACAGATGCACTGTCGAGCTCATATTTCAAGCTGGTGAAATAGACTTGTTTAAATGGCCTGTACTGGCCAATACATAGCGGTAAATAAACGATAAGAGCTTGCCGATAAGCAACCAGCCCCACGTTCTCCCCTCACAGTTGAATCGATACAGCCTGTGCAGCATATCATTCATCTCATAAGTATAATGAGTACTTGTGTTATTAATCTCATCTTTATACTGAGGTAATATGATAGTTAATTCAGCTCAGTTGAAATGAATGGAAATAAGATAATCACAAATGCATCACTTAGTAAAATCAATCCAGGCGAGATATTCTAATAACAATACGTATAGGCAAGCGCTAATTCCATCATGCGTAGAAACCAATATTTCACTCCGTTCATCTGACTAATGCATAAATGGAATATTTCACAGTCTTTTCTTCAGTGAAAACAATATAGATTTTGATTTGCTTGCGAACAATTTTAATAAAAAGCTATTGATGGGATATTGATTGGTAAGCTCACGGCACAGCTTGTGGGCCCAGTGTGCAACAATCGTTATGCGCCAAGCTTTTGGGTTCATTTCAACTCATATGGTCAATAAAGACTCCATATGCTCTCGGCCCTTTGAGCATGATGTCGGGATGCTTTTTCTACAGCATCCTCTAAATCAGAGTCAAATTTAGCATAGTCCCAACATCTGACTGACCATGAATCAAGATATGCTCAAACAAAAACATGCTGAACAAATTGATACTTTATATCAATATAATATAATACAGGAACAAATGAGTCATTATGTTTTGGCGGTACACTATGATATCCACCATCACTGAAACTTTAGTAGTACACAAGTAAATCAAATTTTAAACTGGCCAGTGTTAAGTCTTTTTTTAGCTTAAATTTTCCAGGAATCACTTTTATGTGGTAGTTTCAAAATTTGTGGCATCCCTCAAGGCTCCCTGAGTGCTCCCTCCTGTCTGTACCTTCCTTTAAGAATGTGATCTCTGAACTCCGAGATCTTATTTATCCCCGTGTCACTTTGTAAAATCTTTATTCGTGTGAACATATCTTTTAAATGTGAGAGGCACTGGAGTAACGGCAATAAAAGGCTGGAGAGGGATCAATGCTGAACGCATTACACCTCGGCGCAGAGACTTGGCTTTAATAATCAAAAAATTGATCCATTAAGCTCAACCTAATTCTTTGCCAAACCGGTAGAGGTGCTCAGTTTTTAACACATGGTTATGTGAAGAATTGCAATTTTTCACAGAGACTCTGGTCTAATGACACAATATTGAAGATGAAATGGCCTCATCACTATATATATATATATATATATGTGTGTGTGTGTGTGTGTGTGTGTGTGTGTGTGTTTTGTTGATTATATTGAATCATATATATATATATATATATATATATATACAACAAACACACACACACACACTCATTCCAACTTAATCTTTAGTTATAAAGTTATTATTTCCTAACATGCAGATAAAATGCTCTTATATAGGGGCTAGCATGCTGATTAAGGGGTCCTATTATGCCCTTTTATGAAGTCTTTGGGGTGTCTTTTATTTTGTTTTTGGGGTGTACTAGAATGTTTTAATGCTAGATTGTTCAAAAAACGTATTATTTTTCACATATTTTACATTAATACAGCTCCTCTCTCCCCAGTCTGGTTTGAACGACTAGATTTTGATTAAGCCCCTCCTTCCGAAATATGAAATGTGCTGTGATTGGTTAGCTGGCCCAGTGTGTTGTAATTAGCAGCACTTAGCGAATGTTTGGGAAATTGCAATTTCAAATCAATCTGGAGACAAATTCAGACCCTGACAATGTTAATGAACAAGAAGAATGTGCCGAACGGATTTCATGCACATACTTTTCAAGCACGGATTTCAACAGGATGTTTCAGAGTAGTATGTTTTTTTTGTTGTTTTTTTTGTTGTTTTTTTTGTAATTTTCTCATACACAATATATGCAACGTTATCCACCATTTAATCATGATATTTGTTGGAAAACTAAGGTAATACAAACAGTAATCAATCTCAAAGCATGATTCATTTTCCTAAGGGGCACTGAACCTTACGAAAGCAAGAGCTTACAAAAGCAATAGAAAACAAGCTGTTCTCCATAAAATGTAGAAAACAGCGCACATAAACGTCGAGGTTTTAATGTTCAGGAACAGTGTTCAAAAAACTTTTACCATCTAAGTTTGTCAGCCAGGTCAAAACATAATGAGTATTGGAAATGCTGTGGAAATCAGTCTCTTTTCAAACGCAGCTCAACCAGGCCTTGTCTTCTTTTTTGTGTGTTCCATGGGCGGGGATTGTTTAAATGAGTACCATTGTGACTTCATAAGATCCGGAAAAAGGTGAATCTCCAAACGAGCTGTTAAATAAAATATCTCCCTATGGAGTGAACTTCGAGCTTTGTAACCTTGCAGATCTATTTTACGCTCAAACAGCAACATTACACACTAATTAAAGTTTAAAATCTTGCTTAAAGGTCACAAATCCTGGGCATAAAATAACTAAACAATAATACAAATTATGAAAATTGCTACTTTAAAGGAAATTCAAAATAAATTGGCTACAACAACATACAGCTGATGGATAATGGAAATGAATTTTGTTTAATGACCTTGATGGAGAAATACTGTAAAGTTACAACTGAACTGCTGAAAGCCATCATTCATGTAAAGAGCAAAGACTGTTGTTCTTCTAACTTTTTTTCCCCCTGAAGTGATCTAACATTTACCGAGCCCTTCTCACATGACTGTGATTGTTCTCCACACACACTTCAAATGATACCGGATGTGACCGATTCAAAAAGCTGTAAGTGAGAGTTCCACTTTTGACACTAGGATTTACCAAAAGAGATGAAACCGTATCCATGCCACTCTGATGAGCTGCAGCATGTGTGTCTATTCCACGGTGTAGGAGCAAACAGCAAAGTTGGGCCGCTGCTGCAACTCAACACCAGTGATATCGATCGGCTTTCTAAGCCTCCGCCAACCTGGTCAAACCCAAGTCCTTGCTGATATTTACCCACCAAAGTATTCCCTTCTGCTAGCGCTGCCAACCCACAAGACATGGAGGGAGAAAAAAAAGTCAATTATATACAACGTGCTTGGTTTCCCCTCAAGGATGGAATCCACCCTTTCTAATCCGATCAATTCATGTCAGACAGGAGGCTGGATTCAGCCCTATCTCTGAAGTCCTGTAATCCAGGCTAAGTCTTCACACTGCCTGCCTCACCTCCACAAGAAAAGGGTTTGGTCCAGAGCGTGATACAGCAAATTAGTCATAGTGTACATTCAGACACTGCAGTGGATGGGTGCCAGTGTGCTAACAGCTAAGCATAACTAGATATGCAATTCAGCTAATTCATATTATATAGGGGGACTAGGGCTAACTGTCAGACCTTTTATGAATATTTCAATATTTGTTTTATCAAATCATTTTAGAACCCTTTAAATCATTTAAGAACGTATTTTTGAATGCCATTTTTTATATAGCAGCGATATTGATACATGAAAAATAAAACATATGATGTTTCATGTTTTCATAACACAGTACCACATAATAAATATATACAATCATTGGTTTAGCCACAAATACTGTAAATAATAAATTGTAAACATACAGCATGCCTCAATTTTCCCTTAAAACTATATACTTGACTCTTGTCTGAAGTATTTTTTTAATGTACTTCTTTAAACAACAACTAAAGCATTTGTTTAACATTATTCACACATAAAGAAAATTTAAGAGTTTTAATTTAGTCCCTGTCTGCCCTTTTGTACAGTAGATATTCTGCGAGGTATATAAAAAAAAAACACGTTTGACTCATCCACTGGCGAACTATATCCAAGCAGTATATAACTTTGAAGTATTTGGCTGATGGTGAGACATGGGAAGGTGTCCCATTACGGACATGCAAAGGCTAACGGCCAGTGAACTCGGTAAATGAGCAGGAACGAGGAGAGAGTGCTGGGACACTTTCATTTCCACTGACATATTGTGCTTCATGTACAGTCTGAATGGCTCCATAAAGAAAGTGTAATGATGGTCCAGGACCCCGGCCAAATAGCTGACATGCACGGCTTCCCTGGTCAGCTCAGCACCGGGTTTGATCCGTCTCATTACACCAGTCATTCAAATAATGGGCAGCTATGGGAGCTCTGGTAAAGCTGCAACTAATACACATGCCAAAGACTACATCATAGTGGCTCACTCTCTATGTCTGCTTAGTATGCACAGGTGTTCAAGGCTGAGAAAGTAAACATATAAATCTTTTTTATATAACATACTATAATAAAATAGATATTAAAACTATTTCTAAATTATATAATTTACAAAAAATGTTTACTTTTACTATACTATTACTACTATACTGATAATAACATAAATATAATCATTTTCAAAAACGCACAAATGCTAAATAAAACAAATTCACAAACGCATTAATCATGATCTAGGCTAATATGTTTTAGATCCTATTTTCAAACCGTTTCGTAAAAACAGCTTTAAAGCTTGTCTCGGAACGGAACAATAGCTCCTTATTCTCTTTCAGATGAATGCATGGCAAGGAGAGAGAGGCGCGATAAATCGGCCACCCCTGCTCTTGTCTCGCTTCAAAAGAATCTGTTAGAGAGAGAGAGGGAGAGGGAGAAAAAAGCAGGGAGCAAGACCCACACGATGTAGTTCCAGCCAATTGCATTCCAGAGAAGTGACCATGGCTGGAGATAAACAATGCACAATAGATCACGCTCCTCAAAAGGTATAAAAGGAAGGCAGATGCCGCAGCAATAAGGCAGTAGCAGGGGGAAAGAAATAATCCGCGTTTCTCCAACAATTCCGAAAAGCAATTGTTTAAATCCTTTTTTTTTTAGGATTGCCATTAACCCTGTGCAGTGTACGCTGTAACAATCTGCATGTGACGGGAAAGAGGAACACCTCTCTCTCTATCTCTCTCTCCCTATATGAGGTTGCCAGGCTCACCCTCTTCCAAACCACAGCCAGAGCCAAAATCGCTTTAAATTGTTCCTCACTGTCGCAAACAAAAAAAGCATTTAACACTCACCCATTGTGCGGGGACTGATCTCTCAACCACTCTAGCACCCCGTCAACACAAGCTCAGATATCCTTCCACAGATATGTAAACAGCCCACTAAGATTTCTTTGTTTGAATTTTGAAGCTGGGTAGGTTTGCCTTTGCTGCGCTTGCTTTTACAGCTTAGAAGCAGGTGGATGACAAAACATCAATCTCTCCAGGCACAATGTGTAGCACGTACGCTTGACACTCTACACAAGCAATATACAATCACACACTCCAATACAGTGCTCTCAGCTGTAATGATATGTGTTTGCTTAAAGGCAGCTTTACTGAATATTTGAGCATTTTTGGACAAAGAAAACACTGTGCATGAAAGGTTTAATGAAAGTGGAATCTGAATCCAGCGAAAGGCAGTAAGTGACAAGGGCGGGGGAAAGTTATATTTCACATTCTATATATTCATACTATATTAATGAAAGATATTCTATAGTCTGAGAAAAAAAAAATGTTTAGGAGGAATGGTTGGAGTGTTGCCACTAAGGAAACCTGTCAGGGAACAACTGAAATGTGGGGGATTGAGGCTAGGTGCCACACAATTGGCACACAAATTTCTCAGAATTAGTTTTCTTATAACACCATAATCCTAGCTACAGTTGGAGTTAAACTCTGCAGGACAGTGGCCCTCCAGGACCGAGTTTGGACACTGCCACTTAGGATTTCACATGGAAGACTTGAATGTAGTTAAATTAATAATCTAATCTGTTTATATATAGGCTAAAACACATATATACTTTTTTTTATCATATTTCAGCTCCTCAGCAAAAACAAAAAAAAAAAAAAAAAAAAAACTATTGAACATACAGTTCTTGAAACTTTTGGAATCAAAATGAATCGCGATTATTTTAATAAACAAGTATTCCCAGTTTTTGAAAAAGAAAAGAAAACAAACATGCATCATAATCAGAGAAAAAATACATAAAATGTCTTAGGCCTTCGATAAATGAGTCCATCAAATCAAAAAGGTTAAAACCAGCTGCCTTAACCGGCCTAAGTACGTTGTAACAGAAACATCAGTGACAGGGAATTAGCAAGTTTATAAATGTGACATACAAAACTATTCATGAATCAGTAAAAGGTAACATAAAAAACATCGAATGATTTCCACAAATATAGTAATTACTACAGTACTATGACTTTATAGAATTTAAAACGTGTGACAACTTGCCCCTACACTTCAACTAGTTTAGCTGCTCTCTTTAAAGGTACAATATGAAAGATTGTTTCCAGGGGTGGGAGATGGGAAAGACGTTTCCCACCAGGGGTCGCTAACCTCTTACAATAACAAAGGCGTATATTAATGACGTATATTCCGCATTAAGCGGAATTATGGATCCTGTCGTCAAGCTGATGGATCTTTAATGGATGAGTGAATACATTGATGTTTTTAAATTTGACTGTAGTATGAAGCAGGGCGCGATTGCTAGACGTATACCAGCGCCACACGCAACTCGAGTCCCGCAGATATAAAGGAATAAGGACATTAATTCTACCGAACTATTACATGCTGAATTACTCACACAGGTCAGTTTATTAGAGGAATTAAACTTGAGGTAACAGCACTGCTTCACTTGCTACAACAGTTTCTCTATCACAAACGGCATTTGAGTGTGTTGAATGTTAGTTAGGTTGTTTGTTGGCTGTATGAGTCTAAGCTAGATAACATTGGAGAATAACATAACTTTTCATCATGTTGAACTTTAACATTGATTATAGTTTTATATACATTAATTTGCTCACCTGTTGCTTACTCACGTCTCTGTCAAGTCGAAGTTAGTCGCGGAAGTGGAGCTCTCTGCATCTCGAAAGATGTTGTTCTTCGTTTTAGTCCTCATTTTGTCTCAAAGTATGCACGATTTACAAATAACGTTAGTTGGAAACACAAACATCCATAACGTGAAAAGTAATCCTAAACAATAAAACTTTTACTTTACAAGAAGATGCAAACAGTTTCTGTACGTGTACATAGCAGAAAATGTTACACTGATTTTTATTCAAATCCTGAATATTTAAAGACAAAAAGCCTTATTTGGTTAAATTCGTTTGCAAATGTGTTCAAATAAAGTTTGGTCATTCAAACTTTTGTGACGTCAGTGACGCTCGAGTCTTTTCGCGGGAAGTTACTTTCGCTTTGCCTGCAGTGTATCACAACAACAACAACAACAGCGGAAGAAGCTCATGATAGCAGCGACTGACTGTTATACTGTATGCACAAACAGCTTCTGTCTATGTTTATATGATTAAGTTTACTATCGAGACATCTAAGTGTTTAGCAAGTGGTTTAGTCATCTGTGCTTTGGCGTATTTATTTTTCATTATGAGTTGTTTGCTGATGAGAGAAAGCCCTATGATAATAGCGCTTAATAAGGAGAAGACAGTGTATGACGGGTTCATCACAGTGCTGGTAAGGAAAGTTTCATATCTCAAAGCTTCACACTCTTTTAACTAAGTGTGAATATACGTTTACAGTGTGAATATGTTATGCCATGTGGTTGTGAATCGCATAACAGTAAGTTAGTTGAACCGATTGTCACATTTATCTTATTATTTAATCTTTGACAGGAAAAAGACTTCAGGATAAGAATATCTCTACCCCCTGATCATCAGATGAAACAGGCAAAGTATGATGTTTATTATATGGTTTATTTGATGAGTGCATAATTTATGTATTTATTTATGTCAATAGAATACCAACACAATGTAATATAGCAATACAATATGTAAACAACATGAATGTTTCACATGCATAATATATATATATATATATATATATATATATTCCACATAATATTTTTGATAAAGTGCTCTGACTTAAATTTGACATTTTTAAGGGCTTTTTCACGAGCCAGTACAATTGTTAAATCATATATAAACACTAACTTTGCATAAATTATTTTGTTACTATAAATGATTTCAAAGGTTTAAGTATTATTATTATTTTCATTTTCTTTGGCTTGTCTTTGACTGTTTTGCAGATTACATTGTTGCTGGCAAATGAAACGGCTACTTCATGGTTATCAACATATTGTGAAGCAGGTACAATAAATCAAAGGCAAATAGTTTGCAGCTATTTCTCATCATTCAAGAAATACGTCTTAATTAACACATAATGTTTGTTGAGGGGAGAAAAAAAATCATTTTCCATCCATGTGCCTCTAGGGTGAAAAGATTAGATTTATGATTTGCCCTGCCTAGATTTATGCGGTACCCTAACTAGTTAAAGTTCATTATTTTTCTTATGAATTTAAAATTATAAAAAATTAACTCTAATGGTCACTCTCATTAGTCAAATGACAGGTGCAGGTTTCACTATTCTGTATGTAGTAGTTTAATCAAAACATTTGAATTGTTTTTCTGTAACAGAGATTACAGCATTCAACTAATTTGACGGCTTTTATTCTGGAACTCAGAACAGTATTGGTAAGTTCCTGGAGTTTAACATTACCATATTCATGTTGACAAATGTTATACATGATGTAATGTTTATCATCATATTACCATAATAAGAACATGAGTCCCGCAGATTGAATAAATGGATTCACATTATGAACGTGTCTATTATCAGGAAGTGGCGTTGAAGAGTCAACCAGGATGTCAGTCCTTCTCACCACCTCAGTATTATTCCCAGCTGATAACCGAGATGGAGATCTTAGGATGGGATAAGTATGATGTTTCTAGTGGCCTAGTGATTTTCTCGACTTGGATTCCATTGTGTTCTCTTATAATTGCATATAGGACAAATCCTTTGCATTACTAGAAGGACATAAAGGGCACGTACTGTCGTCAACTTTTCATGAAAACATCGTGTCACATTTCTCACTTTGTAACAGAGGAGGCTAATGCGGTGTCTGTCAGCCATGGATCAAGCTGTGATTTCACTAGGCTTCTCATTTTCCACTTTCTATTAATGTCTAAAGATATAATTATGATATTAGCAAATGCAAATTGGTCTAATTGGAGACCCACTCTCAAGTTTAATGGAGAAATGTAGGCTGAAAAGTTAGGCTGGAAATAAGGTGCACATTTCAGACCTGAATTGCGGTCAGAAGTATTATACACAAGCGCTATCTGTAAATGCACTTGAGATTAATTAAGATCCTTAATTCGTGTCTCTGTTAATAGCCTCAAGTCCGGCACAGTTGCGGACCCTGATTGGTTTAGGAAGGGGGAAGTGCCGCAGAACCTGGTCATTTTAATGAGTTTTAGTTGCCTTGAAGAAGCCACATTTACTGTTAATTACTGTATAGATGGGGTCAGGTCTGTTCTCCCCTCTTATCCCCAGAATAGTTCAAAAGAGTCAGATATTTAGGAAATTACAAAACATCAGTCTCCGGCTGCTTTACGGTGCGTTCTAAGTGTGCTATTGAAATATTGCAGCAAATGAAAGTTGAATATTTTGACTTTGATCCCAGTTTGCTCCCATTTTACTGTGAGATATTGCATTTGGTCTGACGCCGTCATCTGAAACTGTTCCGATTTTTTTTTTTAGACAATTGGTGCATGGGTGCCATGGTGAGAGGTTGTCACACCTTGCACATGCATGAGAGAGAAGCGCTGGGCTTCTCGCTGTGTTCTTTTAACACCCCGCCAAGATAATGACACCTGAGCAGGTTTCCTATTGGCTGGTCTTCTCACCATCTCACGCCAGCCAGCAGTTATATCTTAAAACTCACGATCCCCGGTGGCACCTGTGAGAATGGAATAACTGTACTATTTTCAGCAGCTGGCTTTTTGCATATCTGGAAAGTTGTGATGAGAAGTCTTCGCAAAAAGTGGCCTTGGCGGTATTACAGTTTATGTTTCCCCCCCCCTTACTATTCCGATTTTTTTTTTTTTTTTGGGGGGGGGGGGGGGACTTGTACGGCTTTATGCTTTCATCTATGGCCTGTTTGTATGCAAACATGCCAAATGTTCCTTTCGCCATTTATGAGGGGAGCTGATTTTCTAGTTGCAAATGTAATACTCTCATCAATCCTCCCAGCAAGACATCGAGCCGTCAAGCTGTTTCAATCAACTGAGGTGAACGCCAGCAAGGCCTGATACTGTGGCGGGAGATCCCTGTAGAATGCAGAGTGGCTGAATGAGGTTCCAGCTCTGAAAAGAGATCTCAATTTCGAGGAAATGAATGATTGGTGTGATTTTGTGCCAAAAGCTCATGTAATTGAATGTGATGCAAAAGATTCGTCCCATTGCTTCATGGGTTATGAGAGAAACAGACTGAGCATTAAGATCACTTTGAACAGTAGAACAGAGATCTGTCAGAACTGCAAACAGTATTTACAAATGGAAAGGCATTTCATTTTTTTTTTTAAAGTTGATAGCTCATGTGCATCACTACTTTTCACTTTAATTTCTAATTAAAATGGGGGCAGGGTGGGGGGATCCCCCTCAAAATTGAATAAAAAGTGAGATGTTTTGAGTGCACGAGTTAAAAATAGTAAAAAAAAATATGTTGTGTTAAAAGGTTAGTTTTCTGTCATTAATTACTCACCCTCATGTCATTCCAAACCCGCAAGACCTTCGTTCATCTTCGGGACACAAATTAAGATATTTTTGACCAAATCCGAGAGCTGACCTTTAGTATTAGACAACAACACAATTGGCTTTATGCCCAGCTGCACTACTTCCTGAACTTCAGCCAGCTTCTTGTTTCCTGTCTGCCATTATTGGCCATATTGATTAATTCAGGTGTGTCTGATTATTGTTGCCATGACAACTGAGGTCAGGCACACCTGGATTAATCAATTTGGCCAATAATTGCAGACAGGAAACAAGGAACTCGCTGAAGTTCAGGAAGTAGTGCAGCTGGGCATAAAGCCCATTACCATTTTCAAGCCCCAGAAAGGTAGTAAAGAGTGACATCATTGAAATAGTCCATGTGACTACACTCTCAGAAAAAAAGGTACAAAAGCTGTCACTGGGGCTGTACCCTTTCAAAAGGTAACCTTTTGTACCTAAAGGCTGCATATTGGTACCTTATTGGTACATAATAGCACCTAAAATGTACATATTAGCACTTGAAATGTAAATATAGTATTAACACCTAAAATGTAAATATTGGCACATAAAATGTACATATTAGCACCTAAAATACACACACAGTATTAGCACTTAAAATGTACATATTCACACCTAAAATGTACATATTAGCACCTGAAATGGACATATTAGCACCTAAAATGGACAAAAGTTTACCTTTTGAAAAGGTACAGCCACAATGACAGCTTTTGTACCTTTTTTTCTGAGAGTGTACAGTGGTTCAACCTTAATTTTATGAAGTGGGGAGATTTTTTTTGTGCACAAAAGAATTATTTTTTTTAGATTTAGACATTGACGTTTTTAGACGTTGCAGAGTGAGAAGAAAAAGAAGAGAAGAAAATGTTGAATAAAGTTGCCCACAAAAAGTATTCTCCTCGCTTCAAAAACTTAAGGTTGAAGTTGAACCACTGTAGTCACATGGACTATTTCAATGATCGCTTTACTACCTTTCTGGGCCTTGAATGTGGTAAGTGCGTAGTTGTCTATAAGGGGTCAGAAAGCTCTCGGATTTCATCAAAAATATCTTAATTTGTGTTCCGAAGATGAACGAAGGTCTTGCAGGTTTGGAATGACATTAGGGTGAGTCATTAATGACAGAATTGGAATTTAATGTGCAGTGAGTAGAGTATAGTCTGCTATAATAGCAGAAGAGAGTGTGAGAGTTCTTCCAGAGTTTTTATGTGGATTTAAGTGCCGAGGGACAGAATGTGGATATGTGATCCTGCAGTTTCTGCCGATGGGAACACTCAGAGCAAAGTGTGCATGTATAAACTAACCACGACATGCTGTGTTACACGACTCGTAAATAAGCTGCTGAAATACAAGTGTGTCGTGAAGTGCTGGTGTTTTAACAATAAATCTGTGGTCGCTGTAGTTGATTTTCTGCACTGTTTGCTAGGAGAGAGGATTCTATACACATCTGAGGAGCGTGAATGACCAAAATCACATATCCCTGTTATGTTTTTATTTACAGCAAATATTCACTGTTGATCTGTCTGATGTCTATTGTATGTGGTCTTATGTGTGATGTTATTGATCTGTCTTGGCAGGCTGCTCTTCATCGATGCAGAGTTTCGCACACTCAAAATGAAGGCAGAGGACTCTGCAGGTCGTCAGCACGTTATTACAATCAAGCTCAAGTCTAAGGTGAAGCCAAGGGTCAAGGCCTGTTTTATTCCTTTTTTTGGTAAAACTTTATTTCACTGTGTCTTTGTTACACGTTACATGTACTCAGGGCTTGACATAGAGTACCGCCAAATAGAGATGCACCGATTACAATTTTCTAGGCCGATTCCGATTTTCATTGAGTTTGACCTGCCGATACCGGTTTTATTTTTTGAGCCACTTTTTTATTTTCAATAACACAAATATTTATTTTCTATATATATTTTTATAAAACACCATATACTTTTACTCAAACTCAATAATAAAATCAAGTTTAAATGGATAGATTTTCTTTTCTGACATAGCCTACTCCAGTTCTTGTTAAAACACACGACATGCAAATTCTGTGCATTTTGGGCACTTTTAAATCCTTTTTTATTTTATTTTTCATCAAAAGTGTGCTTTGACTTTAATTGAGCATTGACTTTAATCCTGCTCCCGGTGTGATTAACATGCAAGCCGGAAAAAATATGCGCTGATCACGCTTGCGGTGTAAATAAGGGGTGAAACGGCCTTAATTCGCGAGGTTTCATGTGCAAATCCACATGTGCACGTGTGAGATTGATGTTGCGCGACGTTAATCATGCGGCGCCCGAGTGCATTTGACCGGCATATGTCAGACTGACCGGCCCGTTGCCGATTATTACAGTTTAAAATATTAAAATCAAACTGTTATAATACATACAGGATAAAACTGTAATTTATTCATGTGAAAGCAGTGGAAACCAATAAGTTTTTCATTCATTTGATGAATAGACATTTCAAAGGAAAAATATTTATTTGAAATAAATAACTGACCTCAAACTTTTGAACTGTAGTTGTAGTTGAACTGTGTGTGTGTTTGTGTTTGCGTATGTGCATGCGTTCGTGCATGTTTGGGACCCCACAAAGATGGCAAATCTAGATCTAGATCCTCAGTCCCTGCTGGACTGCAAAAGGAGCAGAACTTTGGTTTTAGTATCTAACTTTAAGCAGGTGGCACTAATGTGCTGTGACTGTCAGATTATGTTGAGAGATGGAGCCGTGAGATTGTGGCAGGGCCTGAAGGAGAGGCGAGAGAGTGTGCAGGGATGCTGTGGCATAGATAAGACCATGAGTGATCCTTATAAGGTGATTACAGGGGCCACAGAAGAAGCAGAAAATTGTGGCGTGTGAGTAGTTTAGTCTGAGGGTCGGGCTGTGTGAGCGAGCTCTGTTTGGCATTGGAAGTGGAGACATGGTATAGATGCCAGTGGCTCCTTGCGGACACTGCACGGGGTCCTGATGAGATTCAGCAGGGCGTGAGAAGCCCCCTGTGCCCACCTGCCCACCGTCCTGCTGGGTCCTAAAAATAGCTGTGATCTACCCACCTCACATCTGCTCATCCTCCCAGAGCCGGGCACCTCTCACAAGGCCCTGCGTCACCCAGCGCCAGCTTACTCAACAGGAGCCAGTAAAGGCATCTCTGCTGCTGGTGTAAATGTGGGTTGTGGGGTCATACTCATAGTTGTTTTATTGGTTGTAGTGTGGAAATATATGTAAGAGAATTTTATGCTTAAAGAGGATGAATAATTAAGGCCTTCAGGAGTGGAAAGCTCACCTATTCTTTCAGCATGGAGAGTGGATATGGTGTGTTGAAATATACAATAATTTATATTAATTTATTAATTTAAAAATGTATAAATTATTAATTCAAATAATGATGAATTTATTAATTACATTATTAATATTATTTTAATTCTAATTGTATTCATTTATTATATAATTTTATATAAATAGTGTATATAAGATACACTATCATTCAATGTTTGTTTATATGGTATACAGTATATATATATATATTAAATGTATTTTATTCCTGTGATGGGAAAGTCTTTGACAACTAGAAAGATCAAAAGAGCTGCAATTATTTGAAATATAAAACTTTTGTAACATTATAAATGTCTTTACTGTCATTTCTTAAAAAAAAAAAAAATCATTTTCCTCATACTTTCACTTTTTAAGAACTAAAACAGTAAAATCTAGTTATACACAATCTAAGCATGTTTCTATACTTTATTTCACTGAATAAGCACAATGAAGGAGGATATTTAATTACACACATATACAGTATATATATATACAGTATATATATATATATATATAAAACATTAAGGCATACCTAAATCTTAACTTGTATACTTTAATATAAAAAAAATACCATATCAGACTTCCATTAACATTTTGAGTGATAAAAGCATCTGCTAAATTACTACCTTTTTACCACGTATACTGTTTTAAACCGTGATTATCAATGTCCGTTTTTTTTTTACTTTCTTTTCAGTATCCAGCTGAGGCCCCAGAGTTTTCTGCCGACCTTCCTGTTCCATTGGTCATCACGTGGACCTCTCAGGTACATAGACCAAAATTACTTAACTTTTTGCTCAGAAATACTGTTACTGAAAATTTGATTTGGCTTTTTACCACATTACCAAAAATGGGCTTTTTTAAATAGCAATTGAAGTACAATGTTTTTAATTAACAAAGTTTTTTGGCATTTAAAGGTGTGTATTTGTTGATGAAAGGTGTTCCGTTCCGCTGCCGCTTTGATGTTGCTTCCATAAAAAAAACAATAACTCCTCTCACAAAGGCTCAAACAGAGCCAAATAAACCGACAGGACAGCGATCTGGAAAGCTACATATGTTAGCGGCCTCTAATGAGCCTCGACGAGTTTCCTCTTACGTATAACAATTAAAAGTGAGAACGGAGACCTATTTTTCACTGTCGTTTTCTTTTTATCATCGTCCTCTGTTTTCGCCTCCTCCCCTGAAAAACAGGCTCCTCTTCAGTCATACGTTTGCTCCAATTACTTTGAGGTGGATGAAAGCGACTTGGCATATTGCACAGCAGTGGTGTGAGTTAGGGAGGGTTGTGCGTTGTGTTGGGTGAGGGATGGCAGTGGAACATGGCTCTCTGACAGAGAAGACCAGCTCAGCACACAGCAGCCTTCTGTCGGCCGAGCCCTGCTGCGCTGCTGATGTCTTGATGCATCTCCTCTGTTCAGGGAAGAGAAAGGCCTGTCTGCCTGCCTCTCACGTACATTTGAATGAGTGATGATTACCTGCGCTGAACTGACTGTGTGTGTTTGTGGGAGAGTCAGTGAGTTTGTGAGTAATGTATAATATGGATCAGGAGATTTGGCGGGGTGTTCCCTTTGTTCTGTGGCGGACACAGCGGTGCAAGTGTGTCTCGGTGGGATTTACACTCAACCAGCCGCCCGGACCCTACTCATGGAGTGCACAAAGAGAAACAATGCTCTCTGCATGAATTTTAAGCCCGTAACCTAATTTAAAAAAGTAAATGCAATGCCGTTCAAAAGTTTGGGGTTGATTAAGTCTTCTAATGCTTTTGGAAAAGCCTTATATGCTTTGCATTTATCTAATGAAAAAAAGTTGTGTATAAAATGGAATTCAGAATTAGACAGTTATTATTAAATGTCTTTAATTACATTTACAGTCACTTTTGTTGTTACACTGCATACACAATGTTTATTTAATCAAGCTATTTATAAGATATTGTATTCATAAGAGCTAAAAATATTGACATTCTGCTCATTTATTAAGTAATATTATTATAATTGTTAGTTCTTTACTACAAAGTAAATTATTGCCATTTAATGATTTTAATGGATTGACATTGCTAGTTTTATTTTATCGCTAAAGACTGTTCATTTGTTGCCAACGGTATCAATTTATCAGCTATACTGAGATACCATAAGCCAAAATTGTGATATTGATTCAACCATATACAGTGAATTATTACTATAATCATGTTGGGTTATGTTTATATTGTATTCCAAGGTACTGCACTTCACAGAATGTTAGTACTCACACTGGCCCACTAATGTATTATGTAAATAGTGTAGCCCAGCATTGCTTCTTTATGTTGTGTTTCCTTTACAATCACAATTATAGACCACAGGCATTAATGAATACATACTTCTTTTGTGCAATTATTGATTTATTTACTTGACACTTGTTCACTAAATGACTGAAAATGCACCATTGAACATTATGAGGATGGACCTAATTGGGAGAGTTAACAGAACAGTAAGCATGCTGTCACCTCAATGGGGAGGAATCCATTGTGCCATTCCACATTTCGGGCACATTTCCAAGAGATATTCAATTATGAGGACATCTCGCCTGCACCATATATTTAAATAAAAGCATAACTATAATCACACAACCGGCATTAATTGGGAAATAATTGCTGCGTCTTGCACCTGTGCAATGCTAAATGGTTTGTGCTGCATTGGCACATCGACCCATCATATTTGTTTCATGCTCTCTCTCCTATATCAGAGCATCCGGTCCTGTGTGGCATCAGGGAAAGCTCATTCACATTAACATGTGCTTGCCTTAACAAAGATTTCCCCTAACCAATCCAGATGACTATGCTCTCTTTCTGATTTGGCTGTCTGCACATCCCTTGCCCTAGTGCTACTGTCTAAAAACAGAAGTAATTTGATTTGTTTTGTTATGTTCAATTACCAGCTCTGGGTGTTTCATTCAGCTCTGCCTCTGTGCTCTGCAATTTAACATGTATGGAAATGTATCAGAGAATCAGGCACATAATCAACGTCAGCATACACAAATTATGTGACAAAAGAAAAACACATGAGATCTTATCCTCTAAAATGCAGCCAGTCCGGTCCCTCTTAAATCAGATGAGATTGGCTGTATTATGTGGTTAAGGTATTACAATGGTTCAAAATTATTGTTGACATATGCAATTTAACATCTCACAATCTAAAATCAATCCAGTTTTCTCTCGGATCACCACAAAAGTACACAGTTGACTAATAATACACTGTCTGTGAACATGTAGACTTTTTTTTTTTTTGTTTTTTTTGTAGATGTAATCTTTATTTCTCGGGGTGGAGCAGGTTAATCAGCTTTTTTATAATGTTTACATTATCTTTATATTACGCTGAAGCTTTTTTCACTGACTAGCAAGAGTTTTCAAAGTTTCTGATGCCTATGGCCCCCAAATATGATTTTGCCTCTATAAAAATGAGAAAAAATGCTTTGTTTAAATAAAATAAAAATAAAAGATATATATATATATATATATATATATATATATACACATTTTTTATCTTATTATATTTATTCTAGCCTTTAAAATAAAGGATGGATTTAGTTTATATATATATATATATATATATATATTTCTTATTGTTAAAACCATCAGTGTGATAATTATTACAATTTTTCTTAATTAATCTTTTATTTTTGGTGTTTTTAATGAATTAAAAATGTATATTATTGCATAGTTAATTTATATTTTAAGATAACTTTGACATTTTTTTTTTTAATTTTCTGCAATAATTTAATGATCTTTTCCATTATTTAAATTGGGATGTAAACCTTCAGCGATGTTTGCAAACTTCATTGCATCATTTGGAATGTTTGAAAGTTTTGATGACGTAAATTTCAATTCAGCTGCTGTCATCTCTTTCACACTAAATAAGCCTATTCATCTTAAACAGCAATAAAAAAAAGCAAAGAGGATCTGGTGTCCAGACTAAAGCGTTCTGATTCTGGGCTGAGATTAAGACCTTGAGTTGGCAGCTCAGTGGAAAGCGAGGAGTGTGGGTCTGACGTCAGAGGTCAGAGCGCGTGGGCGACCTGTACGTCCTCACATTGACAGCGTGGAGTGAAACGGGGCCAAACTCCATCAGCTGTCAATCATCAGCTGTGATTTATGAGCAGTCATACTCAAACCATTAGCTCTGCCTTACCACTGGACAGCTCTAAAGGAAATAGAGCCCTACTGTGTTTGTATATGTTAGAATTAGAGGAAGCCGCTATGCCGAACCGTAGATGGGTCGTCTGTGGTTCTCGGTGATCAAACGCCATCGCTGAATTTCTCTTGTTTGCTGATGTATGAGTTTTGGTCTTTTCCTGTTCAGTCACTTTTTATATTTGATTTGTTCTTGGTTGGTGCTTTAATCAATGGTTTGTTGACAGGTCGTTGATGAAGACTTGGCAAGACTTCAGTGGGAATCTTTCTTTTCTTTTTTTCCTTTTTCCTCCCCGAGTGTTGATGGCGGAGGGCTGAAGAGTTTGTATAAAGCAGTGATATGAAACCAGACATGTGGACAGTATCAACATCTTCCATATGCAGAAGTGTTCAGGAGTTATTAAAGACAGCTCAGCCAATGTCAGAAAAAAAAAGAGAGAGAGAGAGAAAAAAAAAACATTGTTGTTCCTGCATATCAAGAGTTGCACGAGAATTTAAAAGGATACTATTTCTAGCATCTAGGCAGTTCTGAGAGTACAACCGCTGACTGAGAGGCACCATGTCTTGAATTTTAGTGGATTTTACTATAACATGCACATGTCTAAATTTGGTCAATGCAATTACACCTACTTAAGATCATTTGATTTAAGTGGGCATTTAATGAAATCTATTATATATTTTCTAAATGCATGTTCTATCATCTATTTTCTAAATGCAAGATATTGATTTTGTTAACAAATAATCCATGCCTGTTTATTTTTTTTAATTTATCTTATTCTATTTTCTAATAAAAAATTCAGTGAAATGACAGACTTCACTCTGGTGAAGTATGCTGGAGTTCTCCAATCATTTAGTCTACTTAAACCTAGATTGCAAGCTAGAACTAAGTCCCTGGCCTACTTCTTTTTTTCTTCTTTCATAAGACATTACACTCGGATGGATGTCGCAATACTAAGGAAAAGATTTGTCACTACCTCCATTTCATTGCCACTTTAAACTGGAAATTCTGTTACCTACCCACCCTTATGTCGTTCTTTTTTTCTTCCCTGTAGTGCAAAACATCAGAACTGTTTTTTTTTTTTTTTTTTTTCATACAATGAAAATGCATCATTGGCCTTTCCATACAATGAAAATGCATCATTGGCTATCAAGTTTGGTTGCAATTTTGGTTTACACTGGTCAACATTTTGGTTTAGTCTGCCTAGGACGTCAGTGAGTAGCCATTTTTCCATAATTCCTGATCAAACAAAAATATTTAATAAGCACAAAAAGTGCAGCGACGAATCATTTGAATATTTTCATATGGTACAGATTTAGCTAGCAGATTAATTGATTAAAGGTGTGATCAAATTAACCATTGTTTGGCGAATTTTCGCGACGGAGCTTAAGTAATTTCAGATCTCAAGATTCGCATGAAGGTGAAAGTTTTCCATACACGAATTCCATCATGCTTGGTTTACTATTGGCAATAGACAATGGACCTTTTTTGCCTGTAAATGTTCACCAACATTCTAATGGGACCACAATTTAACGGTAAACTTGCAAAGCCTAAACAAAAAATATGTTATTCCACGATGACAGAGTTTTGTTGGAACTGTCCCTTTAAATGAAGCCAAAAACCAACTCTCCTGTAGGAAAAAATACATTTGAAACTAATTTATTGACCTTTCCTCTACACCCAGAGCACCTTGGCCGTTGTCCACAGTCAGTTCCTGATAAACGTTGAGGCCCTGTCCGAGTTCTGGTCGGTTCTGGATGAGATAGATGAGCAGACGTGGGTGTTGGAACCAGAAAAACCCACAAAAGCAGACTCCATGAGAAGGATCGCCATCGGTAACATTACATTCGTATTGCTACATTTGAATCTCATTATTTGCAGATCACCACATTTTCCTGCCATCCATCCAACTATGCCCATCAACAATGATTTCCCGTGATATTAAGCTGCCATATTGCTGTTCTTCCCCAGGAAACAATGTCTCAATAAAGGTACAAATTGACCCCAGACACCCCAAAATGCTGCCGGAGTGCTGTTTGCTGGGGGCTGAGCACGGTAGGCAGTTTTCATATCTGCAAATCTCTCTGTTTATCTCCATACAGCTTTTATTTACGGTTTCCTGCATGCGAGAGGCAGCTCGTGTGTGAGGAACTCGTGCCTCCCTCTCCTGCTCTTGTTTTTCAATTACCTCCGTACATAAGTGCACATGCTGTAAATGCTTTACTGCATTTAGACAGGACCGCTACAGCTGGAGCGGCTGAGCTGACAGCCCGCAATATGTTTGCGGCGCAATGTGCTTTTAGATTTCGAGTGAGATGCTGCTGGAATGGAGGTCAGTTTGCACTATTTAAGCCGCCGTGATTGTTTCTTTAAATCCAAGGTCATGCTTGGCTGACAATGGCACACAGAGAACATTGTCGGTTGCCTAGCAATGTTATTCATTGATATTAAATCCACACTTCAATAGTCAAGACGGTGGCAGTCGCGGACCCTCCGAGCGCGGGGTCAGACAGAAATATTGCTTTTTGCATTTACAAATGACAAACAGGGAGTGCGGCTATCACGTCCCTCCCAGATTGATCTCTCGGGTGGAACAGCCATGATGAGCACGTTTTATTTGAATTATTTGAATATTTCCCTTTCTGTCAGACTGTTTGTCACAGTAGGAAATGTCCTGTTCTTTCGCCCGCGCTGCTGTGGCATTTCTACGAGAGAATAGAGATTAGAGGTAAGAAATGACGCGACCGTGCATTGTCTGTCAGCGTTCTGCGATCAGGTGAGGAACGCTGAATGAGAGATGAGGTGGAGTTAATTGAAACTGCTCCGCTACATTGGGGGGGTGAGCGCAGTTCTTGCCTTCATATACAACTCTCCCTCGGGCTTGTTTTTGCCATGCAGATTGATTGATATGATTTATGTTGATGGCGTTTTTGTCCCCCAGTGCTTCGCAAACATTATGAAGTCCAGTGTGTATTGCTAATACAAAAACATAAATAAGTGTGTAGGTTTTGATAATGAATAATTGAAGATGTGACAGAACAGATAACAGCTTACTGTAGGGTCATCAACACACCAATACTGTACCAATGCGCAACCAGCGACTGGCAGTGAAAAGTTTGTGTGATTTTAGCGTCTTGTCGTGTTTGCATGGTGTTATCGTTTAAATGTCTGAGAAATAGCTTAAACTTGTTCTCTGGAACTTAATTTACCTAGGGGTATAAATAAAGGAACTTGACCAGACTTTAAAAAAAAAAAGGTTTGATTTCTCTCTCTCTCTCTCTCTCTCTCTCTCTCTCTCTCTCTTCAAATAAATGCTGTTCTTTTGAACTTTCTATTCAAAGAATCCTGAAAAAAATTGTTTGATGGTTCTGAAGGATCGTGTGACACTGAAGATAAAATAAATGCAGCCTTTGTGAGCATAACATTTTAAAAAATCGAACCGATTTGTGGGATACTACTAAAATTATATAAATACTTTGTTAGATTTTAAATCAACCTAATACTAAGGCACCTATACTTTTGGCATTTGTTAACACAAGTCTGGCTTATGTTTTTCAGTTGTTACTCCTTTACGGAATAAATTGAATGCCAATATGCATTTATGGTAAGTAAACTTATTTTCCATTCATTTTTTTTTCCCAAAGAGGTTGAAAATGATTAATGAGAAATCAAAGTTGATGTTGCATATTTCGAAGCAAATTTGCTATTTCTTGTGCACACCGCGGACGGTTTTCAGTTGATGTACGTATGTAGTACAGCATAAAATGAATTTGAAACCCCGTGCTGAGAATGTTTTGGCCCAGAACGTTGATTCTTAAAGTGATATCCTGGATTTTTTGGGCAGTAATCACTGAACTGTATTCATTATACCATCATGACTTGACTGTATGTGTTTAATTAGTGCATGAAGGCCTGATTTCCTCCTCTCCTCATAGGAACCCTGACTGCAGTGTCCTACAGAATATGAAGGATGTGTTGGAGATAGAATTTCCATCGCCTACCACCCACGAAAAATCTGTACGTTGCATATTTTCGTCTCATACACTGCCACTTACAATTAGTTCCACAGCACCATCACATTTAAAGCTTGCAGTGTTCTTTTTTTTCCCCAATTCCTTTTCTCTTCGTTTTTATCATCGGGAGAGGTGGGTACGGATTTCCTTTAATTGGGTTGTTTACAGATAAGATCATTACAATAACAAAGGTGGCAGAATCTTCGGCAATATCAAGAGCTGTTTAATCATAGCTCCGCCATTTATCTTTTTTCCATGTGCATTTTTTTATGCTTTCTCTCTTTCAGCTCGCAGGTTGAAAGGCCGCAGTGTTTATTCGCAGTCTGTACCGCAGATTAATGCTTGACCATCATTAACATTCTGAAGCGAGAAAAGTTTACTTGACCAGATGTTGAAATTTTTATCTTCCATCCTTTTAATGGATGGCTCAGGGAAGAAAAAAAAAAGGAGAAAAAAACAACTAATTATCTGAACAGCAATATGCAAACACGGACAGTGGAGCAGAAGCAAGGGGGGTGGGGGGACGTGTAAAGATTCTGTAGCCTGGCTGAGGTGTCTGAGGATTGTGTGAAGTGAGGGTCAAGCACATATAGGGTTGATGAGTCCACCCTGTGGAAACAAATTTGAGCTGTCGTGCACCAGCAGGCAGAGTGAATCTCAAATACAGAATTTTAGATCAGACTCAGGGATACAAAATACAAAAAGTGATGCTTTTCATTTGTTTTTATAATTCCGTAATCATTAACTAAAAAATGTACTCACTTTTCATGTGATTCCAAACCTGTATGACTTTCTGAGTTACTTCAGTGGACATTTAGATAAATGTACAGTGCTGGTCAGATTGCTGGAATGGACAACAATTTTATTAATTCGTACATTTATGAGAAATGTAGTCCTGAATGATGAAAAATATTGTTTTGTGTGTGTGTCAGATATTTTCTTTGATTTGGTTGATCCAATTCACAAAAACTGATTCAATCTTAAGTGATTCAATCACAAATTCACATGATCAGTGAACCAGTCACGGTATCCCCGAGTCAATGAGTTGACATGGGATGGTTGGATTTAATTTCAATCTAATGCTTCTTATTTATTGCTGCTTTACTTAAATTACCTACTTTTATTTAAATGTAGCTAACAGACGCTGCTTATTAGAGGGGAAAGCATCTATCCCCATTCATTGCAATTGCATATAAGAATAACCAGTGGATTTGTAGTCTAGAAATTTCTCCTTTTGTGCTCCAAAGAAAAATTTTAAAAAATCCTTCAGGGTCAAAACAACACAAATGTGTGTAAATGACTAAAAATGTTATTGCTGGGAGAACTAAGACTTCATTTTTTTACTTTACTGAAAGCTCATATAATTTTGTGGTTGTGTACTCAAGAGTTTCAGTGTTGAATGCGGCATCTGCTACTCTTATCGACTTGAGTCGGATATTCCAGATCAGGTCTGCAATGATCCGCGCTGTGGCCAGCCTTTCCATCAAGTGTGTCTTTATGAGGTAAGCAAATCAGTTTAACAGTATTTCAATCACAAAATAACTTCCTAAAAATGTGCAATTTGTTAGTGTTTGTATGGTATTTAAATATTTTATTGATATATTTGTCTTCACAGTGGCTGAGAGGTCTGCCCACCAGTCGCCAAAGCTTCAATATTGTGTTTGGAGAATGTCCTTACTGCAGCAAGGTAACTCTATCACACAAATACAGCAAAGAAAATAACTTTATTAAAGTTCACAATTCAATATCAATTAAAATATTGTTACATTTCTAGTGCTAAAAAACATGCCAATTTATAAATTCATTCATATATATTCTTTCAGCCCATCACAGTGAAAACGGTCACTGGAAACACTTAACAACAGTCTGTTCATTCAGAGTGGTCATATGGCGTTACGTCTCCAGTAAGGATAATACCAACAACCAACAGCAGTCAATATCGTAACAAGAAGGAAGATACACATTCTCTGGCATCTAGTTGACTTTCCAAAGCCATCTCTGTGATGGTACCGAGCCCATTCATCTTCCAATCCACAGACATCACTTCCCCACTGGTCTCCATCATCATCATCAGTGTCCTCCCATTGGACTGCATAGTCATCATTTAGTTTTCGAGTATGTTTTTGCTGGTTCTTATAGTGACGGTTTTCTTTCCCCCTCATGGTCAACCAGGTCTTTCCCTTGTAAACATCCGCATTCCTCTTTTCCTGTGTTGTTGGAGCAAATTTGATATTTTCACATTATAAGAACCATAAAGGAGAGGGCTGATATTAAATCTGGTTATACACGTTTGTATCAAACAATAAATATTGCAAAGCATTTTTGTATTTCCTTTGACTTTTTGATGTTTTTTTTTAAAATTTGATCAATTTGAATAAGTGAATAATTGACTGTGGTCTATTTGTCATTTGGCCTGTCCTCTACTGTTGGTTTTACTTGTTCTTGTTCCTGTCTGTGTCGTGCTCCTGCTCTTGTTCTAGGATGAACTCGTGGAGGGACGGGCTCGTCTTCATCACTGAGGTCCTCATCACTGTCCTTAGGCATAGACCTTTGCCTAGCACTTCTTTTAGCAGCCATGTCACTTTTGTTTGGTCTCTGTAAAGATGACACCAACAAATATTTTAAATGAGTGTATTAAAGCACTGAATGATAACACTATATGACTTAAAAATAAGATGATAGCTTTGTTAGAAACCATCTTCCTAATAGATGGCAACTATACTGTCGTTCAAAAGTTTGGGGTCAGTAAAAGTGAAAGGAATGACATTTATAATGTTACAAAATGTTCTTATTTCAAATAAATATTGTTCTTTTGAACTTTCTATTTATCAAAGAGAAATGAAAAGTGCTGGTGTTTTAAAACTATTTTACAAAAAATGCAGTCATTTTCACAGTGTGTTTCACAATGTATAAACAGAAAAATCCCCCAATTTTATTTGTTATTTTTGTGTTTTAATTTATGTGATTTAGCTTTTAGACAGTAAAGATGTATATTTTTTGTCAGAAATAATATTTAAAAGTAAAATAATAGAATTTATAGTAAAATAATCTATTTTTCAGTAAAACAAAATTGACCAAACCTTTACAAAAATGCACCCCACGTCATCTAGCCGACAAGAACCAATATTCCGTTGTTGTTTTTTGAATTATACCTGCTTGTGTGTCGCTCGTTTGGTCTTGCTCCGGACTTCGTTTGGTGTGGACCCACCCAACTCTTCCTCATCATCTTCCTCTGCTGACACCACATGCTTTGATCTGGCTGTTTTTTTGTCGGTAGTCTTGGGTTGGCTTGCAGCCTGTGGGAGGTTAAGTTAAATTAGATGACGGGAATTTACTTGCTTTCTCTGAGCGTTCGCGAGAGAGTCAAAAGAGCAATAATGCTCCCTCCCTGACCTGGATCCTGAGAGGAGAGGACCTGCCCTGATTAATGACATCTACTGCTCTCCCTAAGGTGGCAACTGTCCAAACTAAATTTGGCCACAGATCACCAGCGAGGTCAGCTGTAGGCAAAATAAACTCCAGGAGTGTTGGAGTGACACGAGGAGCTGCTGGCCTCACGGTGCCTGACGTGGTTTCAGGAGAGCTGAGACACGAGGGGGACATTGATGGTGTTGTTTTAGCTTTTATTCAAAGGAACTGAAACTACATCGACTAGAAGGAGATGAACAGAACCACAGAGAAAAATCCAACTACAAAGAAAAGGGGATTCAAATCTTAATGCCCTTGCTGTTGACAGTGATGCTTTCCATGTGTGCTAAAGGTAGGGAGGCCAAGGTCAGAAGAAAAAGACTCTGCACACTGCTTTGTAAGAACTCTCCATACATGTAAAACATCTATATAAATTTCAATGCAACCATTTCCTGCTCATCAAAAAAGAACACCAATGTTCACACAAAAGGAACGATCAATTTCGCTACACTGCATTGGCAGCCCCAACATCAACACACATTGTCCTGTAGACTTCCTCAACAGAACTATGACCTAATATTCATCTCAGGGAAACACATTCTTGGGTTAAACACTAGTCAAGTGCACCAAGGAAGCTCTTACAGCTGAGTCAGGGGGAACCAATGAATGACAAGATGTTGCCCAACACCGAAACTTGAATTGTATCCTATTACATTTATATATTTCACCATAATTGGTTAGCTTTCATTTTATGGACCAGGGTGGAACAACACTTAATTTCCCACAATGTCACTATTTGCCATTATTTCTAGTACACAAGTAAAGGTGCGTTCACATTTACCACTTTACAGCTGTTCACCAAATTTTCATGAGCAAAATCCTGTAAGGTGATCTGGAAATCTGCGAAAGGGCAAAACATTTCCAAATGCAGATTTCGCATCGGGTTCAAATTGGTAAAGGCAATTTGCCCTTGATCAACGGAAAGCCACTTGGTTTGAAAGTAATTTCTGTTTGCGCTGTGCTTCAAACATTTTTACACTATTGTCTAGTTCATTAATGTGCACATATCTTACATTATTTAAATCATCATTTGTATGATTCATGCTTTATTTGTAAAACACTTGAAAATGCTAAGGTCAATCTAAAACTGTAGAACTGAGATGTTTTTCTGCAGGGGGTCAACATTATGCAGAGTGGTTTCAATATCAGAGACACACGGAGAATAACTGACACCCTAAGCACTGAGGGTATTTACCAACCCTTCTTCCATTGAGCCTTCTCTATTGAACCACAGATCAAATTGCTGGACAGCTCCACATAAAAATGAGAGGCAATTCTAACTGCTGATCTTTTGGCCTCTGCAAAATGTGTGTATTCAACAGCCCCAAATTGGGTTGCTCGGGTGTTCGTAAAGTTCAGCGGTTCAAGTTGGCAGTGATCAACTGTGAAGTGATTCCAGAGAAATTAAGGTCTCTCCACTCCAGACCTCTTGAGAGCCAATAAGCCTTTTGGCAAGGTCACCAAAGGTTAACCTACGACACCACGGTCAAGATTCACCGGCTCATTCCATTTAAAGAGGAAAAGTGCCCTTCTTGTCTCTCGCCAGCGTAATAGAGTGCAGGAATGCAGTGTGGTGTATTTTACGCAGTTTGATTCTGAATGTGCATAACGACGTTAAAATATAAGTGTCCATGTGATTGCAATAAATAAGAGCGCTTTAATTAAAAAGCTCTCTTGGATGGTTTTGACACTGCATTGAGCTGTGGCCCCAGGCTAAGAACCTTCGGTAACTCTGAGTCTGTCACCACTGTGTAAATCTCTTTTTCTTTTTTTTTTGCATCCACATCACTTCAGTCTAACTCCAACGCCGCCAATAGGCCAGTCAGACGGCTCTGAGCAGGAGTGGGAGTCAGTGTAGCTGGGAAAGGGTCAGAAGAGGGTTCCCAAACCTGAGCATCTCCTTCTCTCTCCCAGACAGATAAATCTGCCGCAGCCCACAGGCTGCTCTGAATGCTCCAGCCCCAGCTCATATGGTCTCTATTAAGACTACCGGGCTGCTGTGCCAAAGCATCGCACACTCACCCTTTGTGTGGTTGGCCTGGCCATCTCGAACACTCTTGGCCTGGAGAAGTCCAATGGGCCCAGTGGCCCGGCCGCTGACAGAATCTTTCTGAAGGCCTGGTAGTCTGGCTTTTCATTGTAGCCAAGGTTTTTCACGCTGGACAGGAACCTGGCTATTTCTGCAAGGGGTCAGAAAGAAAGACATCTGAATATGCTAAACTTAAAGGTATAGTTCACCGAAATTCAGTTCGAACAATGAAAGTTAATGGGGTCCAAAACTTTCAAGTATCATGAAATGAATCCATACAACTCAATTGGTTGGTGGACTGTAATTCTTCCAATGCGCAACACGAACAATTTTTGAAAAAAACGGTCACAATTTAAGCCTTTATTCACTTTCAAATCATATCAAAACATTGATACACACACAAACCTCAAACATCAAATAAAGTCAAACCTCATTAATTCTCGCATGTCACATGACCAAATGTCATAACGATTGACTTGGACTATACCATTTGTATGAATTAATTCCAAACCATCTTAATGTTTTTGACTTTCACAATATGGACAAAACCAGCTGAAACTTCTTCAAAATCAATTCAATATTCTCTTTTGTACTCCACAGAAGAAAGAAGCATGTGCAGTACAAGTTTCGAATGACATAACGGTGAGTAAATTATGACAGAATGTTAATTCTTTGGTTGGACTATTGAGAGTGAGGAGTCACCATGATGGTAAGAGACGCTTTCGGTTGCCAGGGGCAAACTTCAAGCCAAGTGCGCTGGTGAGATGTGAACGAGCCAGAACTTGGCTCGGCGTTTGTGGTTCGACTGCTCGAGACTGTTTTCCAAAGTTGGCTCATGTCTGTTTTCGCAAAGTGGACTGTCTTTCAAAAATATCTTCTTATTAAACGGACTGTACACTTACACCGTTCTCAATGCTTCGGTTTGCATGTAGGGACCCTGATTATGCTACAGTGTTCGTGTTGGGCTATTTTGAGCCTAGTGATTTTTACTTTTCATTACTCTATGCCCCATATACTAGCGTTATAAGCTAAAACGTTTTTAGAGATGAAACTCTTTACATTCGATACTCATGAAAACAAATCTCAGAGAATGGTTGACTATGTACCAATGTGTAATTAGACCAAAACTTAATTTTGCGCCGTAGTTGTCCTTTAAGTTTGCAATGGTGTTGGAGTTCAGAAGTTTAAGTTTCCATTTTTGGTTTGGAGTATATTTGAGTTTTATGTAATATGATTTTGGGGTTATTTGTGTAATTTACTCTTTATTTTAATTGTTTTGTGTGACAAAGTTGGGATTGTATTACTAGTTAATTTTGTTTTCTGCTAGTGATGATGGGGCGTTTTGATTATTATGTACATTGTTTGTTTGTTTGTTTGTTTGTTTGTTTTCAGTAGACACTTATTTTAAGAAAAATGTAAAAATAGGAAAACCCTGAATCCCCATGCAGTATCTTTTGTGCCACATGATATTCTGCCATACATAGGGATCTAAATATACAAAATAATAATAGCCTGAAAAAAGCTGATCTTGGCCTTTAATAATCATATCCAATTGGGCTCAACTGATGAATTTGTTTTTCTGTGAAAAATTCTCAGACACCACTGTTTTGGCTCTGAAATCCCAATATACTCATATATGATGACTATTTTGACTGTTTGGGAATTTTTTTTTATTTTTTTTTATGTTTTACAAAGTACTTCTGCCACCCAGATGGAAATTTATGACCATTCCAAACAAATATTGTCCAGTGGGAAGGAAATCTAGAGACCGCACCTCTTGGAACTTTAATAGGCTTTATGGGGAGCGTCACGTGACCAAACCGGAAAACAGGTCTCATCGCATCCGCTTGTCATAGAAAGTGTTAACGGCCATAAGAAGTGACTACGATATCTATGGATTTTTAAGGTAATCAGCTAACCTACCTAGTTCACTTTGTTATTGCCGTTTTATTCCATTTAAATATCTAAACGTTACTGTGAAGAAGAAAAAATATAAAAACGTTTAAATATCAATCTGCATATGTGAGGGACATTGGTTATGCTAATCTTTGCTCGCTCCTTTTAGGTTATCTTGAGTAAAACCGCAAAAAATTCATGAAGCACATACAAAAGACCTGGACCGGAAGCGATGAGACCTGTTCAAACAGAATGCGGAAGTAAGTTGTGCATAGAGCCTATTAAATATCCTTGATGTAGAGCATCCCAAATGTGTCCTTTTTTGGAAACTACACTGTGGAGGTTGACCGCGGTTGAGTCTTTGCATAATTTGCAGATAAACACCAACTGAGATGGTCTGCATGTTTTATGTTGATGCATCCTGCTGTTGACCTAGACGCTTACTGAACACACTCGCAAATGTCCGGCCAAGTGACAACCTGCGTTTGCAGACTTCATTTTCATTCCCAAGGAAACAAAAACCACATCTTCCTAACAAATGGACGGTGGCAGGAGCACAATGTAGAGGGGCCTCTCCGTTCATACAAGAACACAAATGTGTGTCTAATATTGGCACCTTTCATTCTTCACTGTAATAAATATGCTGGATGCAGTGTTAAGCCAGTGCGCGTTCTCTTTGTGGCAGCCTAGCTGAATGTATACCACAAGCGCAGCCTTGATGCATGTTAGAGGTCTTATCTTTCTGGTCCAGCTGTAGCCAGCCTCTCAAGGTTGGGAGAATAAGGCCTCATCATAATCATAGATCACAAAGCCCCTTTTCAGAAGACGCACGTGCCCTCGCACCCTGTGGAGGAGGGAAAGATACTGCAGGGACACTAGAATCCGTTGATGAAGGCGAGGCAAGGAGATTGTGCTTGTGGGGATGGTGAGGAATCTAAGTCCCTGCCCCATACCTTGTTCATCAAAGCGAATAGCTTGCACACTCACGTGCACCTACCCGTGCTGGAGCCGGACATGGACATGTTCAGGACAGAATCTGGCAGGTTGGACATCAGCCTGTGGTCAAGAGATGATAATGGGGAAGGTTAAACAGAGGTCCTGTTGCAAAAATGCATCTGAAAACACCTCTTTGCTTTTCGACTCATAGAATCACACAATATACGTTTCAAATTTCACTCCGAAGAACTTCATTCTCTCTTCTAATGATCCGCAGATCCTTTTGAAGCGTGTGCCCCACTGCTTAAATTTCCAGACAAGAAAGAAAATATGTGGCCTTATACACCTTTTTAGTTTTAAGGCTTTAATAAAGCAGTTGAGTGAATAATTCAGGCTGAATAAGCACAGAAAGCCTCTGATCAGCAGCCACTGTACATAATTAGACCTATGGTGGAAAGGGGAACGTACTTGGCCTTGGCCTCCTGGACCTCAGCTGGGTTCCTAAGAGATGAGAGCCAGGGAAGAGTTCCACACTGCCAGTGAAGCAAGCAGTAGCCCAACACCTCCAAGTCTCCTCGTCTGGATGGGGCTGTTAGAGAAAGCGAAGATAAGGAAAAGAAGTTAAGTGTTGCTTGAGAAGAGAGTTAAAACTCTTTGATTGAATGACCCGTCCATTGGCTGCTGAAATATGCCCCTATAAAAAAGGCGAAGGAGGAGGGGTGATGGAGAGGTGTATTTTGTTTTCTCAGCTGGTGCCCTGGCCTGCCTCATAGGCTAACAGGGCTTTTCTTAGAGGGGCTGAGAGTTGAAAGAATAGGTCAGTTTCCTCCCACCAGCGCTCCTCACATCTCTCTCACACTCCCTCCTTCTTTGTCTGGTCTGGCGACTCGTCCAGGAACCTGATCCTGACGGCCTCTGACATGATCCAGACAGCCTGTGGCCCAGCCCGACACTCTCTCCGACAGAGAGCCAAGCAGTAAAACAAAGAAATAAATGTCTGGGCCCAAATAGTTTCCACATGTTTCTGGATTCCGTGGGGTCTCGGCTGGCCTTAAGAGAAGAGTCTGAGAGTGTTTGTATGTGCTCCTTAGACCGCCTCCACCTCGGTCGTAACACATTACAAAACTGCCATCTAGTGTAAATGACTTTAGCATTCTAAAAACCTCTTACAAGGCCACTTCGTCTTTTATTATTCTTACATTTCTTTAATATCCCAATAAAGACTCTACCTCTACCCTGGGATAGGAATCGATACAATTTCCCAAATCAGTTTGATTCTGTTTCACAAGCTCTTTATTTGATTCAATTTTTTTATTTGATTAAATTTGATTCCAATATTAAAAGTTTTGTACGTAGTTTTTACATATCTAATACATGGCAGTGTTTTAAGATTGATTCAAATCAGTAACTCATCTTCTTGAACTATCCATTACAAGGAAGGACTCAAAACACCAACAATGGAAATTGAAGCTTTCAAAGGGATAGTGGGCTACACAATGCATTCTGTATCTTTTTGATCCACTAAAAAGAAAAGGCTCATGAGAGTCATTGGTTGCGGGAATCACTAAAATGAAGCAGCTCACAAAAGTCAGACTACACTGGTCACAGTGTGCATGTTTGTTTTGCGTGCAGCCCATGAGAACAAAACAATAAAAGATGTTTAAAAAATAAAATAAAAACTCGATGCAACTGTTATTAACCTTTCGGAGCAGAAGAGTTTAATACTTTTGGAATAAGTACAAGGGGTTTCAGTCTTCAAAATAACCCAAGAGAGTTTTCACACTTGAATAAACTCAATAGGAATAAATCCCAGTCTAGTTTCTGTGTGAAACGGCCTCGCTTCAACCAACTGATTAGTCTTATGCCAACCAAACAGACACTATTAAACCAATTCCGAGTTGACTTAAAACTAAGGACCCTCAATAAATTACGGTTTGCTACATTTAAATATGAATGGGATGGTTTTGTCAGTTTCGTTCATATATGGGAGTGAACCTCCTGTTAAGCCTGTCCCTTCATGAAAAGCTTCAACTTCATCAATAAGGGTAAATTAAGGCGCATCATTTGTTCGTGCCTAGAGAGTGTATTAACTCAATACTGTAACTGCAGTCCATCTCCTGAGAAATTACCTATTGACTGCATTCATCAAAAGGGAAAATCTCTGCCTAAATCCATGACCATCATTGATCCTGCCATGCCTATTACAGAGTCAGCCTCCCAGCCCGCTAGCCAGCAACACCATTAGGCCACGTATATAGGTTTTCTTTATTTTTCTTCAACCTTGACCAAACTAATTTAGCAAACACACAATTTAATAGAAAAGATTTTAACATCCCTTACAGGTGACCTTGGAAAAAAATGCCTCTTAAGTGCCATGTAAAAAGGGTACTATGATTAGGGACCAAAGTGCACAAAATAAGACCATCTCTGTAAACATTTAGTACGACTCTGTAATATGGAGCAGAAGGGGTGGGCTGCCTGCTCTAGTCCTGACACCGATTCACTTATACAAAGGCCGATCCACAAGAACGATGCATTCCAGGCAGAGCACAACACCTTCCATCAGATAGAAGCTGTTGTTCATAATTATGGCCTATTGTTATTGTGATTATCCAAAGCGCCATGTCAAACTCTTGAACCTCCTGAATTTCAGCCAGCTCAATTCAACCCTACAGGTGATAATTAGGCCTTTAGCAAAGGCTTCAGTGGGACACGAAGTGCCCGTCTCTGCACTTCTCACCATGGTTACAAATCAACATCTACATGGGGTGCCAGGGGCCAAAAGAAAAGAAACACTCTGCAATCTCCATTCATCTACAGGGCAGTCAGTGCTAATGACCTACACAACAGCTGTCAGTGTCCTCCGTCAAGACGTCTAGTGCAGTGATGTCGGCTCGGCTGCGGAATGTTTAATAGCGGCTCAAACAAGGGTTGTCAAATTTACGGCCTCGTTGCTTTGAGTTTAGCTTTGGGAGTGGATCAAGACATTGAACTCTCAAGTTGGTGTGTCAGTGGTTAGGTGTTTTTATAAACTCAAATGTTATATCACTTGCCATATGCAGTGTGATTTACAAAGTACAACTGGCCATACATTTACAGAGCAGAAAGACGGAATCAGGACCATATGTAGAATCCTGTACATGAAACGTTAACAAATTGTTTCAGGTAAGAACATGGACTAAAAGCAGCCAGACCTTGGTCTGAACCTGAGCATGATTTACTTTCTGATGTATCAGACAATGTGTTTTACAGGGTCCACGTTATGAGCTACAGAGATTCATGCACTTTTTCCCCTTTTATATCTAAATAGAAATACACACGTGCATTCCCACATATTCATCCTCCAAATATAAATCCATCCCAATGCTATGAAATCACCATACTGTTAAAGAAAAATTTGGAGGTTTCAATCCACATACAGTAAAAACCTCTGGTTTGTCATGCCAGTTGTTTTCAAACTTTGTTATGCCATGAACCTCCAAATGTGAGAATCCCCTTAAAAGTCATAAAAAAGATAAATGCAGCTTTATATTTTGATGTATGCAGCCCTATTTATATAAAGTCAGAAAAATAGTCATGATATTATTTAAAAAACATGTAATTTCCAAAAATAAAATATTAACAAGTTCAATTAAACAAATTAAATTCAACAATAAAATAAATGTATGCGTTTAAAATATTATCGTGTTAAACTTATTTAATAAATAAATAAATAAACTTTTTAAAAAATCAGAAAAATTTCTGCTGACTGGATATCTTGTCTTTTCTCCATGTGCTTTAAAAATGAACAGAAACATGGCTATTAGCAAGCTTTACCACAGTGTATTCAGTATTGAACTCCTGTAATATCCTATGGCCAACACAGGCAGAGATATTGGCTTTGAGTCCCAGTTCAACAAAACATCAAAGCTTTAATTAATAGTAAATGCATACAAGATGCAGGTTATGACTTTGACTAATTATGGATTTCTTGAATTAAGTCTGCCCAAGTAAGCATGGATAGAACAATCAATATCCAATAAAAAGGACTGTACACAATTTACGAGTTAATGTGTTTCCAATAGTGTGACCCAAAGTTAAGGACATGATACAGACAAGTCCCAGCCACATAAACAGACCCCATTATAAGGCGACTAAACTGGATAGTGAATTCATACTTTTTGGTGAACCTCTTACTTTAACGTTAATATGAAACGTAAACTATCCCTATGTAAACTATCCTTTTTTTTCTCACTGAATATTCAGTTTCACTTATATACATGCAAATAGTTCAAATTATGAAAGTAACATGGGTTGCAAATGGCAATTTATGTTGACTTTAACTGGGAAACACAGGAAACACATTTGTGCATAATGGAATATGTTTCTATCTCGGTGATACCTCAGCGTGGTTTAAAAAGATTAAATAAATGACAGATTTCACATTACCTACTCCTTTGTGAGCATCAATGCTTGTATACTCAATAGTGCCATTGTGTCCTTTCTTGGGGTTCTCTTTGTACTCTTTATGCTCTCCATTAGGACAGTATCTGTATGACAGTCCATAGTCAGCCAAGTACACCTGCAAAAGATAAAGTCAGCATAAATCATCCCAAAGACATTTTCTTTCAAACTGAATCTCTCCTACTGTATATGGTATTTTAGAGCAAAGCAGAGGGAAATGGGGTCAAGTTATGACAGCAGACTGAGACTTTAATTGATTATACTCTATTACACTTAAGTTCCAAATGTCATCAGTGCTGGCTGGCCATCTTAGTAGACGATCAATGAAAATAACACAAACATTCTTATTCAATTATGTGCCACCTTTGAGTACACAAAACGAGGTCCCACTTTATATTAGATGTCTTTACCTACTATGTACAAACAATCATTTGACACAATGCATGCACGTATTGTGTACATATGGTAGGGCTATATAATGCAGATAAAAGGCTTGCAGAAAATAGTTTTTTGAGAATCACCCTTTAATCTAATAGTTTACTTTGCTGGATATAGCAAATGGTGACAAAGTAAACGCTTTAAACAAGATAAATAATGTACGCTTAATTTCACGATAAGCAATTGAAAGCATTTTTTAAATATTTTGACAGCCCTAGTACATGAACAGTAATTAAATTAACTACTATATACTTACGTCAACAAATCAGTGCAAAGACACCTAATATTAAGTGTGACCCAAAAAGATAACCAATCATTCAAGATATCCCATATTGATTCTGGTAATGTGCATACAAACTCACCTTGCTTGGATCTCTGTGTCCCAATAAGAGATTGGCAGCCTTAATGTCAGCATGGACGTACTCATTGTCATGAATATATTCCAGCACATCCAGCTGTTAAGGGCAAAGTGACAGAGAGGTTAAAATGAATAATTTAGTAACCTCATAATGACCTACAGGAAGATGAGCTGGATGCAAGGCAGCCGGACTCCTAGAAAATACAACAAAAGCTTACTCAAAAAAACCCACCATATTATGTAATACTGTATGTTGCCTTGTCACACTTACCATGTCCAATCCACCCTAACTGAGGTCACATATTCAATGGTCACGATTACAATAGGTTTAAAAATTGTAGCAATTTAGTTATCGCTTTTGTTAATTTAAATAAAGCTAAAATAAAATACAAATATTGAATGAAAAACGTTTAAAAACTTAAATGAAAATTAAAAATGTTGTATTGAAGCTATGTGGGGAAAAAATAAGTATACCGGTAAGTTTAAAATGACTAATAAATAAATTTAAGCTATAGAAGGGGGAAAAAAACAAGCACACAACCATAGTACATAAATCTTACTAAAGTAACACTGGCAAGCAGCTCTAACTAAATGTTGAACAAAGTTCAGCTGCGTCTCACCATGAGAACACCCAACTGTAGCACGATGGGTTTCCTCAGCTTTCCACCATTCTCCATTACCACCTTATGCAGGTCCGTGCCCAGCCGATCCATAACCATAAACCTGTACCTATACAACCAGACAACAACATTTAAATGGACTTATATATACAATTGAAACAAAAGAATATAGAAACAAAAAAAAGTGAATGAGTGAAATTAATGTTTTTGACCTTAATGTCAAATTTTGGGCTGGGCGGTATGACAGTATCCTATGTGACTGTGTAAACATGACACATAACGATTTTGTTGTTCTGTTTATCAACAGGCAGGACTGTTTTATATTATGTAGGCCTATATGAGAGTGATGAAAGCAGAATGTGTCCCACACAAGTCAAGACAAGGAAACAAAGTTTCACTGTTTAAAGTTGCTGAGGCTGATCCAAAAGCAGGCATTTAATTAGGAATTTACACCAATACAAAATTGCATATATATATATATATATATATATATTAGGGCTATCAAATGATTAATCGCGATTAATCGCATCCAAATTTAAGTTTACCTAATATATGTGGGTGCACTGTGTATAATTATTTTATATATATATATATAAATACATAAATACACACACATGCATGTATATATTTAAGAAATATATTTTCATGTATATACTGTATATAGATTTAAATATAATTTATATTATATATAAATATAAATATTTTATATATAAATATATTTTTTCGTAAATATACATGCATGTCTGTGTATTTATATATATACAACGTAATTATACACAGTGCACCCACACATATTATGTAAACACAAACTTTTATTTTGGATGTGATTAATCGTTTGACAGCCCTATATATATATATATATATATATATATATATATAGTGTGTATATACAGTATATTATGTATATATATATATACGTATATACCACTACAGTGAAATGCATTCCTTATATCCCTGTGGTCATATACGGTCAACCCTAGTTAAACTGAAGCTCCATACCGTGTCCCGTTATTTTCAGCCAGTCCAGACCCCCAGTAAGTTGGGATCCCCAAAAACTCCTGGTGTTTAGACTTCTTCCATTTGTTCACTGTGATATTAGAGTTTTAAAATGTTTTAGCCATTTTATACATTTGCTTGGATTATAAACATATACACATCTCTCAAACACTGATAAAGAAGGACTTCCTCCAGCCTAGCTGGAAGGGAAATCTGTCTTGACTGGCTGTGCACCAGACTGACAGGTGGTCAGGGGCTCTTTGGAGAAACCAGCATCATTATCAGCAATTTGGTCACTCTCTCTGAATTAGAGCTCAAACAAGCTGGGATTGCACTAACGACCACAGAGGTGCATGTTTGCTTTGGTTTATTAATTCGCCCAGCCAGGCTGATTTACATCTATAGCCACTTCATCAGTGACATGCACTTCAATGTTTGAGAACTCTCAGATGAAGATGAGGGGTCTTCAGTATTTTCATTCAACACAACTCCAAACACGCACATGTTTCTCTACATCCTTTGACTATAATAAAATCTGGGTTTATGTTTCACATACAGTGTTACAGATTACAGTGCTTTAAAATGAAAGTCTTGCATAACAATAGAATTACATTTCATAATATGGAGAGAATTAAGGTGGGGGGAAAAAAAGAATCTTACTAGTATCTTGCTTTGCTGCTCGTTGGTAAAATTTCAATTCTGAGAATAAAGGTCCATTTTCATGATATTCCTGAAAATGTATATAGAAGTTGTTGTATTGGGTGATATCTCATCAAACTATTTCAATATATTTCTTACCACTTTGATCACAAAATCAGTGTCATCTTGAACAGGGACATTCACATCCTGAGAGGCTATAAAAACGTAAACAAAAAAAAAATTGTGTCCATTATTTTAAACATTAAAAAATAGCACTACTGTAAACTTAATATATTGAACAAAAAAAGCACGTCATTTTCAAGGTGCACTAGCAATATAAATGTTCAGGTCTTAAACTCTTTTAAAGTGCCACCATGTGGGCCACAATGAAATGAAAATCAACTGAAAGTGAAATGATGAAGGCGTTTCACTTTAACACAGAATATAAAGTCATTACCCAAGTAGATCAGTCCAAAACCACCTTTTCCAATGATTTTGCCGATGCGCCAATTTTTCTTTTCTGAATCTGTTAAAATGCATCCGTCTGGAAGTGGACGGGGTAGTGTGTATTTCTTTGGAGCCATGGTGTTAAATTGTCATACAGAAAGTTTCAGAACGAATAATCCTAATGACAGAAGAAGAGAGCAATGTAAAGTTCCTGTCATTCATTTAATGGATTAACCACTGTTTAACAAACAAACTAGAAATAACAATAACGTCGCTTTATAAAAGCATGTCAACAAAATAAATACGAAGTATAATGTTATACAGAGGAAGGATGCTGATAATCACAGTTTCAGTTCATTCAGTCAGTGCAGGATGTTCTCATCGCAACAGACTGCGACTTCCTGAAAGTGAATGAAACTCCCCTGACATCGGTTCAAAATCTTTACCAACCAATCAAAAACAGAGATGTGTGTGCCCTTCATATTCAACAACCAATAAAATACTTAGAGAGCCGGAACAACACCGAAGCAAGTTTTATCACAGGCCAGCGCCGATGTCATTCAAATGGGATGAGAAGTTCAATTCAATTTCGCGAATCGATTCATTCGAACAGTTTGCTGCAAAGAACTGAATCACAAGCGGTCACAGTTTATATTTGCGCTCACAGTTTATATATAATTTATAACCAGTGTATTTATAATTTGCATACACATCTAAAATGATTTACATAGTTTGGATTGTGTGGTTTTTGCACATTTAATATCAGATGCTGTTAAAAATGTCAGAAACATATCTTATGTTTTATTTGTGGCAATTTGTTTTATTTGTTTTTTATTTGTTTTATTATGTTTTAAGCTGCAAATTCATATTTAATTAGTATGATAGTAATTTCTTGCAAGAAAATAACATCAAAAAAGTTTTTTTTTTTTTTTGTAGGCCAAAACGTGGAAACAAGTTAGCATTTTAGCAGTGGTTTTTACTTTTTTTAATGGGTTTTTGGTTAAATGGCTCAATAAGGTTTATTCTATGACATAAAATACATCATTACACTTGTGCTTTTTTAAGGTGTTGTCTTGAAAAAGGCGGTTGCTAACAAGTCGCTAAATGGGACTACTGAGTCAGTCGGGAACATTAAAGGAACTATATGTAACTTTTTATGTAATTTATTATTTAAAATCAATATTTTTATTCATGCCATCAATGGTGTACAAATACCTCTGCCAATAGGCTATATGCATGCATAAGTTCCACGTTTGACAGAAACGGACACCGGAATGAACATCGGAATAGACACACCAACATGGACACACCGAAACTTACACCGGCACACGGAAACCTGCACGGACACACCAACATGGACACACCGAAACTTACACACCACACCAACTGACGCACCAACATGTCTAACGGACACTGGAACCGGCACAGACAACAAACGGACAACGGCACCGGTTTGGACACACCCACATAGACACAGTGGAACGGGCACGAGCACTGACCCCAAAATGCACACCGGCACGGAACAGACACTGCACTGACACAGACACAGACAAAAAACCTGAATTTGACTTGGTTACATGACACTTACCAACAGCAGTTACACAAACTAGACAAGACACAATGGAAACATGAGGGCACTTATAGTCCTGCAAAAAAAAAAAAAAAAAAAAAAATTGTTTACAGAGCTTTTTTTTTCAATACTTTGAAGTTTAAAATAAACTTCATGTCTGTTCAGACGTCGCTATGCAACTAACAGAAGAAATTTTAATTTTAAAATTGTGGTGCTTCTAATTAAGTGATAAAAAGCAGTTGCAAATGTTGTACACAAACACTACCCTACTTACATTTGCACCAATAAAATATGCATTTTATGTTTTTTGATTGAACTTACAGTGGAATGTTTTCCTCGACATCTCGCGATTTCGGAAGTGGGGAACGGAAACTAAAGCAAACACACAATATATATTTTTTTCATTCCCATTCATCCTGGATGAGTTGTTCAATTTAATTTGTGAATAAATCATTCAGTGTACTTCATGAGTGAATAGTTTAGACAAGTTTTTTTTTTATTGAAAAGAACTCAAAAGAACTATTTGATTTAAAATCTTACAAAGATATACTTTTCAGTCAGCTAAATCTGATGATAGATGAGGTGATTTTAAACAGGCATGCAACTTTAGATCTTCTGAAAAAATCCCTGTCACATTCAGCTTAGAATCACTGGGATATGAGCACATTTGGGCTCTGAGTGGGCTGCAGGACACACCTCCATAGGCTCTCTTGTAGTCCAGAGTGCAGTGACATCAATCTTGAGGGGCATTGGCACCATTTTCCATAAATGCCCCTTGTAATAAGGATGGCATAATTGTTGCAATTAGAGAGAGCAGCTTAGGATGGCCTTGCAGTGACCCACCTCAGCCCAGGTCCATATGGTCTGAAATAGATAATGAGTCTCTTAATGTGTTATGTATACTCAAAATGGACTGTAAACGGACAGGCTGTAATTTTCACCAAGGCCATCAAGAAGTGACAGATAAGCCCCTTGTGAAACTGTCCTAACAATATTAGTAAGCCACACTTCGCTTTCTCTCACGTTCTGTCTGTCACTTCCTGCAGGCACACATGCTCAAAATGAGGTGACAAACCTTATTCTATTGACCTTTAAATCGTTAAATTATACAAAATTAGAATAAAATATAATGAACCCTGTATAAAAGCTATAATTTTCTAAATATTTTAATATAAATAAAATATTCATCCTCCTCAGCTTAATTGACTGTTTTTTTTTTTTTACAAATTTTACTCCAGATTTAGCATTAATGCAAAGACTAACATTAGAAAAATGCAAAACACCAGACATAATAATGCAAAACACAATATGTAATTAATTAGATTAAATGAAAAATATAAAAATAAACAATGTTAACACTTTTATTTTAAAAAATATATAAAGTTGTGGAAAAGTCCTTCCATGGTCAAAGTTCAGAGGAGGACTTAAGATGTTGTACTTGGGTGAGTTTACCATGTTGAAATGTTGATTGTCTAATTTACATGTCAAATTGTTTTGATTTTTGAAAAATATTTGTAAAACGCGTTGAATGCTTCTGAGAACATTTTGAAAAATACAACTGTCACGATTCTAACAAGTTAAGGATGATACTTTAATACTTTTTTTTTGCTACTGCAGATCCATGAGACTAAGTTCTGTTTTTTGTAAGATTGAGTTGTGTTGGTTTTGACCTTTTTGGGTCATGTAGCAATAATACTCTGAAAAGGGAAACATCAGCATCAAATAAGAATGTGTGCAACGGATGAGGAAAATGCATTTTAAAATGTCACAACATAACACTACACAATAAAAAAGTGGTGTATTTATGGAAGCATTTACAGATGCAAATGTAAAAGTGCATAATGACCTGACCTATTACAGATCATTACACTGACACACGTGGTTGGCAAGAAGCAGAGATGTCAAGCCGTATAATGTTGGCTGCGTTGGGGCTTTCAGCACATGCTTAGTATTCTTCATGTGTGCAGTTCTTTATTAGCTTGTAAAGAAAATAAATGTTGAGGATGCTAAAAATTCTCTCTCTTATTCCCAGTATGGGTCTCATTGCATCAGTTCCATTATCAAGTGCATTCAGCACACTAAAATAAGCTGTTTAATATTGTCTGCATTACATGTCGACTTATCATATTGTAACCCCAAGGCATTGCCTGGGAAATGATTCCTCTGAGTCAAAGTATGCCTTAAATGCAAGATTATTTCAGTCGGTTTTCTGTACTGATTGTACAAGTTATTATACAAGAGAAGCACATTAGCAGTCCATACAAGCAAACAGCCTCTACACTGTTCCAATTACAAACTGTTTTGCTCCGAGTATTTTCTTTCTCTTTAGTGCATTATGAGGCCTTTAAAACTAGTTATGGTTGCAAGATATATTACTATTTCAAATACAAGTAATATGAATCTAATGACCAGTAATGAGAGACTGGTTTGCTATTACACAAAGGGGCCAGAGACTTGCTAATAAAGCATGCGGACTGCTTCAGGGAACATGCACTGACCAAGATGTACATTAGGCCCGTAATGTCTCTAAGGCCTGAAGCTAAATTGAAATGTAAAACCCCAAACCAAACTTCATTTAGGGCTATATATCTCTTCATGATGTGCCACTATTTGTGCAGATTGCTGGTGGTTATGATGTAATTTTTTTTCTCTTTTAGAGCTGTGCATTCTGCAGTGGTCTTTATTATGTTTCCGTCCTAGATAAACAAATAATAAAAAAGAGTGGGGCAAAAATCGGAGAATATTGCATAGCAACAATCCAGCAAGAGTCCAACTCATTTGAATCAATAGATAGCACAGGACCTGTGTGGATATTATGATTTCTTTCTGTAACATTGAAATATCTCCCTTTAAGTTATTCCTGTCCCCTTGGGTGTCAATCATTTACATGCCTTCATAATATCTCCATTGATTTTCAAGTGGCCAATGGTCCTTCAGAGGAGCTGCAGTTTAAACCACAATTAAGAAAGAACTTATTGATATTATTGAGTGTGTATGATAATAAAAATAGTATTTATTTGAGCCTTAAAGGAGAACTCCGGTCAATTTTAACATTGAGCTCATTTTTTTTTTTTTTTTTTTTTTTTTTTTACATTTGGAGTGATGTCAGTACAGACAAAAACGCCAAAAATCGGTGTTGCCTACACATTCGCACCCTGTTGACTTCAATAGGGCATGTTCTAAACCTGCATTAGTGAATATCATCTAAAACCCAACACTGTGTGGTGTTCTGAGAATATCAGCTCAAATGGATAGTTCATCTAAATCAAATGTTGAACACACGTAGGAGGTTTGAGATGATATTTACCAATCGATCGCACTCGTGAGATCGACACTCGATTACTCTGGGCTTCGACCGAAAACAGGAAGCAAATAGAGGTATGTGAGCTGGCTGAATTAACATCATTTTTATTAATATCTTTCATATATACTGCAGTCAGATTGACCGTGGTCATTCTTAATAACACCATTCACATGGCTGTGCACTCGTAATGACAAATCAAGGATGTTAAGAGGCTAAAAAGCAGGTTTAGACAACGCATTCTCACCCCAAGGCGTCACCTTTGACCATGCTTCAATATTTGACGTTTTAGGCGCCCTTTAGCGTCACTTACATGACGCGATCCTACGACGTCATCTAACTGACGCTAAAGGAAAGCGTCAGTTAGAGGACGCGGTTAGGTTTAGGTATGGGGTGGGGGTAGGGTACACGCGATCCTAGGGCGTCATCTAACTAGGGCGCCTAAAGCGTCAGATATTGAAGCATGGTCAAATGCTTCCCAAGGCAAGTCAGTCCCAAGTCAGTTAGGTGACGCCTTGGGGGTGAGAATGG